ATTCTGTGAAAAAAGACCCTGGTCACAATAGGTCATGAGCACTCATTTACACATGCGGGAAATTTGATAGATCTGCTTATTGGGAAACACATGCATTATTTTTTCATAATCAGCTTCCAAATTTAGACTTATCTGATTACACGCCAGCGATTTTTTCCACAACATCTTGATATCCTTCTGCTTCAGTTGTTAAAACGTATCCGTTTTCAGCAAAAGAGAATTTTCCTAGAAGGGACAACTAGTAATTAGGAATCATTCAAAATGTATAAAGTAAAGACAGATTGTCTGCATATCATGCAGGTAGTTAAGGAATGATTCTATGAGAAACTCAAAAGTTGCACAGATTTAGTTTTTGAAGGTTGAGTAATTCAAACATACCCAAGTTCTCCTTATCCGCTTCCGATTTCCCTTGAAACGCAACAACAGATTTCGTTTTTTCCTTCATTTCAGCTAGATTTTCAAACTTTGATCTTTTTGGATTTTTAGACATTAATATTTCGAATCTCCGACATTTTATATAATATATGCAGCATAACCCAACAAAAAGTACAAGCGCCTAAGCTCACAAATTTTGCAACGGTGCCCTCGGTTCCTAAAGTAGCTCCTCAATCTCGAAGGGGTTTAAAGCTTTCAATCTGAATAAACCAGTAATTTGCAACAACAAACTGACCAACAGAGAATCGATAATTGAGCAAAAAAAGAAATAGTGGCAGTTCTCCTTCATTTGTTTCTTGAAAGGCTTGTCTTTAACCTGAAGTGCCCGGTGGGTGTCGTCGTCTAGTAATTTGCAAGTTTTATTGGCGAATTGACTCTGAATGTACTTGTATGTGATTCTACTAACTTCTAATGAAAGTATCCGAAGCTGCTTTAGGGCCAGAAAAATAGTTTATTTCGTGGTTGTTAATTTATTTTCCAAATTCTTTTTGACGCTTGATTACATGCAAGCTTTTTAATTTTCGACAACACACTGTTTGCCTTAATTCACAGTTTGAAAGGTTTTTGCTCTAGAGCTATGTTTCTTACCAAGAGGTTGGATTTCTTTCTGACTTTTAAAGCAAAGAGAGTCAAGTCAACAGGAAAACATATCGACACCCATTAGTGATTGCTTCGAACATAACCAGAATTCGCGGAGAAGCTCACACTTATTCCATTTATGACCATTAGTAATGCTAATGATTAAA